TTAATCGCTCACACATGAAACCATGCTACAATCTAACTGTTATCATGAGCCAAAATAACCTGATCTAAAGCATGAAGACCCCCCTACCCCACAAGAAATAGCACCTTGAAGATGTTCAAAGTCAAAAAAGAATAACACTCCTAAAAAGGGACATTGCTCTGAGCTTGAGACCAAGGTTGACCAAGTTAGCTTTCTCGTCCTTTATTCAACATAATGGTCACATAAAATAATTTGAAATTGTTGAAGTGTATATGTGGACTGTCTAGTCCTTTTCATTAGTTTAGACTTTTGGTTGCGTTGGCTAGTGCATAAAGCTTAACATGGTATCAGAGCCAAGGTCTTGAGTTTAAGTCCTGACTTTCGCAATTTATCTAAAAGTTGATGTTGCCCCCCTTTGTATCCACGTATAGGCCTCTTGGTCCATACCTCTAAGTCTATCCACGTGTTGACTTCCTCTGTCACATGTGAGAGGGGGTGTGAAAGTTTATATGTGGATTGCCTAGCCCTTTTCATTAGTTCAGACTTTTGGTTGCGTTGGCCAGTGCATGAAGCTTAATAGAAATCAAAGCACCATGAACAAGCACCTAGATGATTTATTGGAATATAGATTCAACAATAACTTCTTATACATAACTCTCAGTGTTAATTCCTGTATCAAGTAAGGCACTCACCTGAACTAACCTGACTAAGGAGCTTCAGCATTTTAATGCCACTGACTTTTTCTTGTAAAACTGTTCGATGTACAAGATTTCATGAGAAAGACCGATATATGCAAAATATTTTTTTTGAATGAATAGTTAATTTAGATCTAGCTAGTCATTACCCTGAACAAACATAAACTAGTTATCATGATGCTAGGGTAAAGAACCACTTACTTTAAGCTGCAACATAACTTTTTCATTTCTAGATCTGAGGGGGCAACAATAGCACATTATATGAGTGTGAATCAAAGCGAATATTGTATGATGGGATTTGTTTGCCCTTTTTTGTTTCCTCCTCTTTAATTATGAATAAATCATCATTCCTATACATAGAAAAAGATGCATGTTAGCTAATGGTATTTTTCTGTGAAACAGAGACTTTGAGCATAGGAATTCATACCAATTTGAGAAATCTAGCATGTGACAGTAAAATATTGTGGCTAAGATATAGAGAACCACAACAGTTTGGCATTTCATCCTGGTCAGAGCATGTATTGACAATTCATCACCAAGACGATGTCTGGCATGTAAATAATTTTTATGTTAACAATTCTAAGCTCACTAATAGGGTGAAATGTAAGTCGTAATATGCATCCTACTACATAAATTATCTGTTATATTGCAACAGATTACAACTTAACCGTACTTGAAACTGTTCTGTACTTACGCCATGTATGTATAAATGTATATAGAACACAATTCCATAATTTGAATTAGAACAAGTAGGACTGTTTTTTTTCGAAAAGGGGGAATACCCCGGCCTCTGCATCTGGACGATGCATACGGCCACTTTATTGATTATTAACACAAGACCTTACAAAGTCGTACAACAGTAAGACCAAAGCCACCATCTTCGCAACCTCTGTCGCTACTCCTATCTAACTGATGAAGGGGCGCTGATGGTCTGGGCCTAATACCAAACAGACCTCGCAGCCAAACCTAACATCTTAGACCTGAGGTCCCAACCAGGACTCCTTCCGGGTATGGGTACCCACCAGTCCGGCGTGCTCGTCAACCAGGCCCCCTGTCGGGTATGAGGCCGCCGCAGCCACGTACCATCAATCCATCTTCAGAGCTGAACTGTTGCATGAACCGTGCCAGGCCTCACTGCCATCGACGCCACCACGACGCCAGACAGCGTCGTCCTCCTGCGTGAGTCCATCCTCCCACATCGAACTCCGAATCTGCACTGCGCCACGCCGTCAAGATCCGTCGCCATCAATGTATGGATGAAGCACCGCTCCACCTAAGAAACCGTCCGTTGGTCCCGCGAAGCAAGGTGCGGCACCAAGTAGAAGGCCGAAGCGCACCGCCACCACGCCACCAGCAGCCCCGCCACCAAGAGTTGTTCCCAGCCGCCGCCTTCAAGAAGGAGCACAACACCAGGGTGCCGTCGACGCCCAGACCAGGGGAACAAAAGCTTTCGCCATAGCTCGAGGAGGAGGCGGAAGGGAGAGGATCCACCCCGAAGCCTTCAGGAAGGGAATCGGCGCCAAAGGCGTCGACTTTGGGGAGGCTGCCGCGCCAGCCAGGGGTTTTCCCCGGAACCTCACCCGCACGCCAGATCCGCCAGGCCGGCCATAGGGGACGCCGAAGCCGCCGCCAAGGACCGTCACCAGCACGGATCGGGACAGATCGAAGCAGGGGCGGATCTTCTACATGGAGCCATGACGGATTGCGAGGAGCCGCCACTGCGCCAGCGTCCGTAGCCCCCATGCCGCCCGCGCGGCCGTGGGAGGCTGCCCACCAGAGCCCGCCGGCACAGCCCGCCGGCTGCACCGCGCCCATCGGCCGGAGCCGCCGCCCCGGGGAGTAGGAGGCGCCAAATCACCCCTGCAAAACGGATCTGGACAGGGACCCCAGATCCGCCGCCACCGGAAGCCACGGCCGGCCACCCACGCTGCCCACGCAGCCGTGGTTGCCCAGCCCCGCCAAGAACCCCTGGGGCCGCCGCCCCAGCATCCAGACTCCGCCGCCCCGCATGGCGCCCAGGGGCACCGCTGCGCGCCAGCCAGAGGCCCCCTCGAGGAGAAAAGGAGGCGAGCCCGCCACCGCCGTCCGCCGGACGAGCTTCGCTCGCCGGCTTCCTCCGGCGACGGCGGGGGAAGCAAGTGGATGGGGGTCGGGGGCGGCGGCGGCTAGGGTTCGCCCGAGCCGCCCCCCTGGAGGCAGCGCGAGCGAAAGAGTAATTCAAAATAACCAAATAGGACAAGTAGGACTGTGGTGACTTCAAAAACCATACCGTATAAGCCTGACAGTTTCATGTTAATTCTGTGCTGATGTACGCCGCCGCATGTCCTCAAAATAACCAAATTTTGTTAACCTTATCATCAAGATCTTGAGATTCTGTGTTGGCTAGCTCCTTACATGGTTTTCTTCAACTCCTTTTTGCACTTATGATGTCTTATAAGATATAGAACATCTTAGTAAGATAGAGTTGCATTATCTATATGCGTAACATACTAACATGCAGCTTATCAAGAATTTGGCGTGAATATGAAGTGGCGCGTGGTGAAAAGGAGGAAGAAACATTCATGTTGCCTGCTACTCCCTCCGTTCGGAATTATTTGTCGCAGAAATGGATGTATCTAGATGTATTTTAGTTCTAGATACATCCATATCTGAGACAAGTAATTCCGAACGGAGGGAGTATCTCTAGGAACAGGTCGCGTTGTGAAAATGGGACGGTTGATGTAGTTGAAGAACAGGTCGCGTTGATCGTCGAGGTGGCCGGCCGAAGGAAGCCCCTGGTGGCTGGATGAGTGGCACCGTTGTGGAGGGTGGCGGGGGACGATTGGCTCGGTCATGCGTGTCTGGGAGTCGTTATCTTCCAGTGAAGAGAGTGATGATGATGGAGACGCTGGCATGGAGGAGTTGCCTGGCTACCTAGACGACGGTACATAGAGCGGGCTTAGCATCTTGTACCCGATCTCCGCCGCCTTTGCAAGCATCTCCGGCTCTCTCTTCTTGGATACTTCGTGGTGGCATCCTCTTACCACTTGTCCCCGCTCTCTTCCTCCTCTTCGTAGTGCTCTTGGTCGCCCCTCTCATCGTCTTCGTCGAGCGGGACACGAGGTTATGCGGCAGCGAGGGGCTACTTGGAACAGCCCGCTCTCATCCTCATGTTCACAATTCTCTTTGGCGGATCCTCGTCGTCCTTGTCTGCATGAGGAGCGGGAAGCGAGGTGGAAACATGAGGAGCAAGAGGTTGCATGGGTAAGCTATGCTTGGGTCACATGAGATGTCGGGGCAGACATACCTTATGTTTTTCTTTCAGGTCTTTTGCCAATGGTTTCCTTTAGGCTGGAGGGGAGGACGCTGGTTTTTCTTAGCATGGAGGGGAGCACGTACAAAGCAGAGGCGACGCAAAAAAAAAACTCGGTGGAATTGGGAATCTCTCCAGGGGTGGAACCAAGATAACCGAAAGACGAAGTACGGACTCCCCTTTAATAATAGTAGAAAGTAGAGATTTGGATCTGCCCCGCATGTTTCTATAGGGATACAGGAATAGTAGATTTGCAATCAATTAAGTGGAGCTATTTGCTTAATGGCAGGGTTTTCATTGCATTTTTATCAAGGTGAAACCCTGACCTGTAGCTGCAGAAAATAAGCAATTTTTCAGCACAAAACCTCCTGCAGATTTAAATGCGCAAAGCACAAAATTTGCAAGCAAAGCTTGACAATTGTGGAACCAGGGGTAAAGCATCTAATAAGAATCGCCATGAAGAAATTGAAATGGCAACATTTTACTCAAAAAGTCTAGAACACCGGGGAGAATGAAAACAATCCAAACTACGGAAAGCATCTTTTCGAAAAATACAGGACTAATCTGCCTCCATTCTTGCCAAGAGCCAGTTTGGTTGGGGACGTTGCTATTGACTGCAAAATCCAGTGTGTTAACTGAATATCTACTAATTTCAGCAAGACTTTTCTGTTGCACCCAGATAGAAGATCATTTAAACAAAACAAGCTGGTATACTAAGAAAAGGCTACTGCGATACTAAACAGGGCCTAATAAGATCACATTTGTTCACTTCTATCACAAAATCAGTACACCATGCTTGAATTCCAGATTGTACAGTTACTGATCCATCCAGTCATTTCACATTCATATACCTCACCTATGGGTCGACCATCAAGATCTGGCTACACCAAAATTCGGTAACACTTTGCAGTTTGCAATTATAAGCAAAGCGAAGTTCTTTGCAGTTTGCAGTCATCATCCACAAAGACTAAGAGCTGGTATCCTACACTACTGTGTCGCCCGTTCTCGCAAAATTAATCCTTTCCAAGCTAGTGTCAATGTCTATGCCAGTGCCTTTTTCTAGAGCTAATATCACCTCTCACCTTGCCTCTAGTCTCAAGAATTCTGGAAGCAAAACAGATGAAACCAATGATGGCCATCGCATACAGCGCTCTGTAAGGTGCCAATGCCATGGAGCTAATAAAGGAATAAAAGCCACCTATGAGGTAGAGAAAGCTCATTCCAACTTCGCGCCCTCTCCTTCCGGGTAACTTAAAAGATATAAAGCTGGCAGTTGGCTGTGATCCCAAAAGTCCATGCAGAATAACACCAACACAAAGGGCAGAATCAACAAACCACGGAAATCTCTGACCCACTCCAATTCTCTGCACAGAAACAACAGGAACCGATTTAAATCATTACTGATTTAGCAGCGTAACATAAGTTGCTCGCTGAAGTAACATCCTATAAATGTTTCTATGGGATGTCCGCAAAGTGCCCAAGTTATAGAACACAAAATAATAGTGTTCCAGAATCAAAGTTGGCAAGGTACAGTGACGGTAGGAACATGAATCAGGTTCACTGGGAATGACCCACTGGAGTCAACCATATCTTAGCAAAAAATCTATACCCTGAATGGTAGCGTGATTTTCAACCATATACACTAACCTGTATGCTGACAGTAACATTATATTTTCAAGATACACATTACATCATTGAATGTTCAGGCCTTTCCATGGATGGCATGAGTCTAGTCTGACATAGCAATGCAAGTCCAAAACTGAGGTACCAGGCTGAGCTGCAGTTTCTTCGCAACAGTGATCAATTATATGAAGGTATGCTAGACAATACAATAAAAGCAATAGCCTGTCTAGCATATGTTGCCTAAATATTAAGTGCACAATAAGATGATCATTCCAGCGGTAAACCCTAAACTCTATAGTACGCAGCCTTTCCCTACATTTCTGCAAGAGGCTGTTTACAGGACTCGAACCCGTGACCTCATGGTCACAAGGCTACAGCTTTACCGCTGCGCCAAGGCTCCCCTTCACAATTAGAACGATATGAATATAATAATTCAGTTGAGGCACTGGCTAGAGGAGTTTTGGTCTATTGAGATGGCTGTTGACTAGTCACTGGTGCTGCTTGCAAAATCAGTACAGGGAAGAATATTTTCATGCTATATGTCATCACTGATGAGGCAATTACTGTCATTGAGGAGTTTGTCCAAAATCATTCAGATAAGTAAGAACAACAAACCTGTATCCAAGCAATAAGTGAAGGCACAAACATGAGTGTAGCTAGAAGATGCAGGATCATAATCCCATGCCGACAGTCAAACACTTCTAGCTGGCTGTCAGTAAAGCTTTTAGCAGATGTTGGGCTGTCATCCATTGGCAGAAGTTGCTCGAGCCCATCTGGTTTACTTTTGGATTGTAGAATAGGATTATTATCCATCTTGGATTTATACAGGTCCTTTTTCTGAGCGATGTTACGAAACGAAGCTCCTAAGAAACTGTTACAGTACCAAAGCATCCACTTCAGTAGTTGAACAACTGGGATTACATATAAAATGTATATATATATATATATATATATGGCCCTATATCACTGCATTCAAAATAAATTTTAAGTGTGTTTTATGATTCTAATCCATGCATACTGAACTGGAGGCAAGAAATTTGCTCCACCTGCCACTTCATGTCCACCGAAAGTACTCACTAACTAGTGGGCCATCTGTCCACGATCTCCACCATCTTATTTTGTGGTTTTCAGAATAATAACATATGATACTTTCATGGTATATCCGATGTAAATTGACTTTATTTTACAAGTCTAACTCAATTTTCGTGACCATTAGATGTCGTGTGGAGATCGATGCGGTGCCTGATTGGATGTACCTTTGTTATTTTGGTAGCAATACAGAGGCATGGAGCTAGTAGGAATAAACAAGCCACTGAACACTTTGTTGACAGGCATAAGTAAAAGCAAAGCCTTGTTTGGAATGCAAAAGTTTTTCCCGTTCCTATAGGAAATAAACTCCTGCCTAACTCTTCCATTCCAAACAGGCCCTTATGGAAAATCTTATAGCTAGAACTTAGTGTATATCAAGTTAAAACGTACCTGCAGAGGGCTGAATGGGCATGGAAGGAATGTGAAAGAAGTAACAGACCAAGACCAATTGCTGGATGAACGAAGCAGACAAGAGTAATTGTAGCGAATGCTACAGCTATATTTGTATTGTTCTTGATCATCTGCACAATCTTTTTCAAAGTACATCAGTTAGTGTCAACAAGAAAAATCAGCAAAACATGCATATCTGCGTATACTCTCATACTTCCAGGAGGCACTTACCTTGAGAGATTGAAATGAGAACGAGAAAGCGAGGAACTGGCGAACAAATGGAGAATGAGTACCGTCCTCCCAAGATTGCCAGCTGTAGATCATTATTTTATTACAAGATAAGTAATCAAAAAATGGTGTAATGTTTGTTGCACACATACTTGTTTCAGAAACTCCATAATAGTACACTGCAAGGCTCACTAATTTTACAATCAGATTTTCCTTTGTGGAGACCAATTTCGCAGCATGCAGAATATGAAGTGCATATACCGATCGCATCACAGAAGCTAATTGTTTATTCCAAATAAACAAACAATATATAGGTAATAACCATAAAGAAAGAATGTCCAGCTACTCCGAAGTCCCTCACCCAATTCAACACCACAGCTCTGACAAACTCTAGATACTGCTGTGCACTAGTTCTCATTTCTGAAATCAAATCTCACTTTCTTAGCACAAGTACTGATACTTACATGGGGTAGTAAACCAATATCATAAGTAATATACTAATTCAGGAGTCCACTGCATCATACAATAAGAGTATCAAATGTCGGTTCTATTATCTCATTATGCAACAATTATCCTCCAAACATAAGTAAAAAAGTCAAGTTTATTCCGTAGAGTATAATGTTTGTACATTAAGCCCCTGAACTTTAGATTGGCTTACTGAGCCCCCTAAACTTACAATCCCCTCGTACAATTAAACAATTTTACTACCATGGAGAACCCCTGATCAGCCTAGCTCTCTGACGGGGATCCCCTAGCTTTGTCAACTCACTGCCCAAACACGATCAGCTCCACGCACATGCAAATGATAAAACTGCTTCACTCCCAACATGCTGGACGAAATGCTAAGATGAGCGATTCTTTTCCAACGACATGGAGCAGAACAATGTCAGTCTGTAGAGGGACAAGGAAAAGTACATGCATCTCTATCTCCTCTCTCACTGCCCTATCTACACAACACGACAGATATCTTCAACGATGCGCACCCATGTGGTGGTGGCATGTAAACCTGAGAGCGAGCTTGATACGTGCTACAACAACGAAAGCCGAGTCCAATCTCACGTATGGCGGTTGTGGGCTCCACATGGCAGTGACGACCCAGCCCCGGATCATTTGGTTGTTATGGGGGAGATTAGAACTCAGGTCCAACTCGATCGGACAAGGGAGAAGATACCCCGGAGAAAGTGGGGAAAGAATAAAGAACGACGGGAGGGAGACAAGTCAGGGAGAGAGAAAGGACGAAGTACAGATCTACGTGGCAAAACTGTCCTCGGGGAGTAAAATGATCTGATGTTAAATATTAGGGGGTTAAATTAGACGATTTGAAGTTCAGGCTGTTAATTGAACAATCATGATACTGCAGTAGAGTAAAGTGGACGTTTTTCAAATACAAATAATAACTTAACAGTAAGATTTAGCCTACTAGCTCCTGAACATTCCCTGCATCATGACAAGAAAGAACAGAAAAAAAAAACTTTAGATGTATTTAGCATGTACTAACCGTCTTTTGGCGAAGACATGTAGAATGGCAGCCACATACAGAATCAATTTCGAACTTAGTGTTACCAAAATGGTGAAACCATTAGCAACTATGTAGCAGACCACAGTAACAAACAAGAAGGTTCCAAATCGAGGGTTTTGCTGTGTAGTGAAAAATAAGAAGGCAAGGAAAAGAAGTATTGGCGTGAAGCAAAGGAACATCAACGGCTTTGGCTTCAGATTAGTCTCAATAGCTGACAAAATAGATGGCACAGAAGAGTCACGTTCCCATGCTGACGATTGTCGCATCAGGCCAAACAGTATTATGGCAATCATGAAACCAAGAATCTGCAAAAGACATAATAATAGTTTAACAGGTAACCATGGACAGTCTTATGTAGCTATCTGGCTACAGTAACTAGCAGTTCTATGCAAATATGCTGCAATCCATCAATGGTGTAAATTTGATGACTAATGACTACATAATCATCAATGTTGTACCACGAGAAACACATCATAGGCAAACCAGTGAAAAGAATCGGATGATCGTATAGCAAGAAAAACACAAAACCCGAAGTTCTCCTCTAAAAATCCTTGTGTAATATGCATGCCCTCGCCGCACAAAGATAAATACATATACAAATGGCCTATTAATAAGTATTATACATTCCCTATTCTGTACCATAAAAGTATGTAAAGCTAAAGCATCCCCTTTCTACAGGTTGGCGAAATTGTGACCCATTAGCCATTAAGATTAGCTTGTTTGTTTTAAATGTTATGGTATCATGAGATATTTTGTACAAATGGATGCACGGAAAAGGTTGAGCAAGGCCTATAGATTTAAGTGGTTCAAACAGCTACTTTGTGGTGTTGATTACAAATACATCACTGTTGTGTCCTGCATTAACAATTTAACATACAGTATCTAGCCAGTAGAATAATTATGTGGTTCCTTGACCTTCAGAAAACAGTCAGGATTAATGTCCTTAGTAAGAAAAGTACCAGAAGGTCTTTACTTCAAGAAGATTACAAGTAATAGACAGTTATTTGCAGTGTGTTCAAAGACTCAAGCATGATGAGGGTCACAGTTATGAAGGAACCCAGGTGAGGCGAGGATAGCACACCAGGAAAAAAGACTCTCAATTCATCTGAACCCAGCTGCCCACCAGTGGTCTCTCCACAATGTTACTTCGCGCTGGCAGTGCTGCCTCAAACTCCCACTAGCCCTAACGATCAACAGCCCAGCAGCAGGCCTGGCAATGGTGAGTGGTGACACAATAACAGCGACAAGTGGGGCTAAGGTTAGTCCCACTGTCAACCTACCTCAATCAGCCATGAGATGGCAACACAATAACGGCAACAAGGGGGGCTAAGGTTAGCCCCACTACCTACCTCCCTCAATCAGCCATCATGTAGTCCCCAGTGCGCATAGATACCAGGGTGATGGCCGCTAACCATGATAAGAGTGCTTAAGAAAAGGGGTGTGAACAGATTATAGACTCCACAGCACCATGTCTTGTGTGTTACTAAACCTAAACTTCTAACAATCAATGCGGTTTAGCGAAGAGAGACATTATGATGCCACCCTCAAAACATGACTCGAGCTCAGAAATAAGGACTATGCTGCAATCATGCATAAAAGTTGTCCTGCAAATGAAGATTACCTCGGATGAGTACAACAAAAAGAATCTGCTAGTTGCAGCACCAAGCGAAGCGCGAAGACTGACTTTGTATGAGCAATGCGGGTCAGCCTACAAAATTGGAGCCACCTAAATAATGAGTTCAAAGTTGAGATATAACATATTCAGTTTATGTCTAACATTGGATAAGAACAACTAAAATAGCTCAGTGACAACTTAGGGCTGCATGGACACCCCAACGTTTTCATGTTAGAAATGAACATCACGGTAATAAAAATTATAAAACCTTGAATTTTGGAGAGACTTCATTATGTGTCAAAGGTGGTACATGGCTAGTGGGAAGGAACTAGGGCTAGCAGCATCGTCAACATACAGGCTTGGTAACTGGCAAAACTCCCTGGGTGTGGTGAGCAGCATCACAAGAATAGAGAATGGCTGCATGGGGACTAAAATGGCAGTCAGTTGGCGACAACACTAAGGTGCTATGGGTGCACATCAAGTTCGTCAGAACTGTGAGCCTGAATCAAATCAGAGGCTCTATGGTAGGATCACAAATTGTGGGATCAATGTACAATCGAGGATCAAAATTCTAAGACTGATGCAGAATCATTAGGACTGGTCAGTCAATCTAGGGTCGTAGAACCTATGAAAGATGGTGATTGCTGGCCGTGCACGGCGGCTACAAGAAAGATATAACACAGGTATTAAGTGATTTGTACAATGATATTTTAGAAGATACAATAAAATATATAAGCAAGTGTAAAAAGGGTTTAGTGCATTACAAAACCTAAAAATATTGGAGTGTCAATTTCCATAACATGTAACTTTCCAGTGTCATTACTGAGGTTACTTCCAGACGAAAAAAAAAAGTAGATAAGTAACCTTACCAGGACTAGCACAGTAGTTTTCTCTGCCCCTTGGTGTGAATCCCAAGTAGCAGGTGACGAATCAACCACTACAGTTTCAGAATAGATATTCGGAATAATGTGTATGCCTGATACAGAATCCCAAGCCAGTGCAACAGGTGGGAAGCACCGTAATTTACAAAGGTCTGCAATGCATACATATGAGAAGTTACAAGGTAGTAACAATGCTTAACCAAAGTTCCTCAATCAGATAAGTATTACTTAATCTGGTGCAACAGCCAGTAAGTTGATCATCTACAGATAGGTGTAGAGGTTATGTCTTGCATAGATTATAATGGCCAGAACAGAAAGCACACGGGCAATCATTAGTTCTTAAGTCTTGTATAAATCATAATAATGATCGGAATAAAATGCATAATGGCTATTGTTAGTTGTTATTACTATCACCCATTTACATGTAAAGACTAGGAGGAGAAAGTCAAACAGATGCAGTTGCTTACTGTTTTTATCAGCTTCAATTTGGTCACCAATATTTTTTATTCCACATCCAGTAGTTTTCAGTGAAAACAAAACTGGTAGAAGACCAAGGCTGACCGAAAACGACAAGGTTAAAGCCATTGGGTGATCCTCCTTCAAAAATATTTCCTGGCATCAAGACATCTAGGTTTCAGCCCATTTTGTATCATAAATTAGACAACATCATATATATTATGTTAAGTACTAATTACTAACTTCAGGTGAATAGCTAGAGTGGACAATCCTGCCAACAGAAAGTGCACTTGTTCCTTCCACTGGATTAAAGAACTGCCCCACTGCCATCGAAGCCGCTGGCGGAGGTCTGCCTGAAATCATCTGGATACCAAAATATATTAGAACAACCAGTGTATCAATTCAATGCGCAAATAAAAGGCTCATTATGTGCATCTATTGATATTTTATAACCACAAAATGTACCAAAGGCGTATGAGATGGCAGTTCAAACTAAACTGATGGATTTAGGGGCAGTTCAAACATTGCCACACTTTGCCATACATTTTTGCCAACCTTGCCTAAGCTTAATTCATCAAAATGAGAGCCACAAGTTGGCAAGCCTAAGGGAATCTTGCCACACTTTTTGTGTGTATGCCATGTGGGGCTCAAGTTTGGCTTGCCTAAGGTGTGGCTTGAACTAAACACTCACCTAAGTTAGTCAAACTTGCCTAACCTTAGGTGTGGCAACCTTTGGCAAAGTTATTCACAAACCAAACAGCCCCTTAGTTTTTATTGACACATTTTACCATATTTATATGAGCTAGAATTCCCAGACTTGCCGGTGTTCACGAGGTACATCAAGCTCGCTAATTATGTCAAGGTGCCAGACTTGCCGGTGTTCGTGAGGTACGTCAAGCTCGCTAATTATGTCAAGGTGCTCTGAATCCAGGCAGTAGCATCCCCAGACCTGTGTTTAGCACCTGTCGCTACTTCGCTTCACCACTGTCCATGCCTGTTGCCAACCAATTTTGACTTTGAGCAACCCCTGCATTATCACTACTCAGGCCAACTGATCTAGTCTCTTTGTAACAAGATAATCTTTAATCGTTATTTAATGGACCAAGTCAAGATAATCTTTAATCGTTATTTAATGGACCAAGTCTAATCCCTCACATTGCTAGCCTTGTGGGTACCAGCCGGACACATTGCCCCGACCAAGTCCATAACACCCTCTAATTTTCAATCCATAAGAACATCAGGTTGGTGGTTCTGTTATACAGGATGGACAAAAAAGACTTGACCTACCTACATATTGCCTACTTAGGAGGAATTGTCCATAATAGGCAATAGGCATTCTACAACTCCATATTTATTACTAATTAATGCATCAAACTGCATATTTATATTGAAGCCAACCGTACCAAATTCATAATAAATTCAGCCACACAAAGTGTCATTTACGTTTCATCTCCATGAAAACAAACAATATTTGGTTGCCTTAGGTATCGAAAGTAGACACAACAACAAAGCCTTTAGTCCCAAACAAGTTGGGGTAGGCTAGAGGTGAAACCCATAAGGTCTCGCAACCAACTCATGGTTCTGGCACATGGAAAGTAGAGGGACCAAAACCATGGCAATGATTTTATTTTTACAAAACATACTTTCTGGTGGATTCAACGTGCCTTACTCTTTCTAGACTTCCAGGTCATAAATAATAAACTAGAGATGGGTCTCATTATTTTCACGTGCAGTAGACAACTGAGCTCAGATTGTTTTGTTAATTATAACTGAAGCTCAGGTTGTTTGTGGTTCTCTGGTTAACTTGGAAGAATTTTTTTTTACATTTTTTCCTTATTCAACATGAATTTGGAAACACAGTAATCGCCTCTCTACTCGCATGTGTGCTGTACAAAAGTTAGTGTAAGATATTATATTAAAAGAACCCGACTAACCGGTTGGGTTTTCTCTTGAGAGAAGTGCATATTACACCCCTCAACTCTAGCTGTAGTCTAATATGCAACCCCCAACTCCAATACCGTCTAGTTTACATCCCCCAACTCTCACAACCAGGCCGAATTCAACCCTCCCCTCCCCGTTGACCAGTTTTGACCTGTTGACTGGGTGAACAGTAAATTCAAAAGAAATATAAATTGAAAAAATAATTCCGTTTTTTCACCGGGTGAACAGTAAATTCAAGAATATTCTAAATAAAAATTCAAAAAAAATGTTTTCTTATTTTGATTTTTTCCCAGGTGAACAGTAAATTCTTAAGAAAAAATTCTGATTTTTTTTGCATGGACGATGTTTGATTGCGTGATGTCCGTTCCAATTCTCAGCTTGTTCGGATATCTGAGTGGCTCTCAGCAAAAAAGACAAATGTGACATCTATGAAATAGTTAACAGTTCGTGTACTGTTCGGGCAGTTTTTTTTTTGTTGAGAAACCACTGAAATGTCCAAACAAACTGAAAATTGGCACGGACATCACGCGCTGAAAAATTGTCCATGCAAAAATCATTCGGATTTTTTTTGAAAAAAAATAGTATTTTTTTGAATTTACTATTCACCTGGTAAAAAATCGAAACTGCTTGTTGAATTTTATTCAACTTGAGGGGTGTAATATCCACTTCTCTCTTCTCTTTGGCTGGGTTGAAAATATCCAACATTCAAATTAAAGTTGCAAGCTTATCTGTTTATGACAAAAAAAAATACCAATAGGGCTTGCCTATGAGTTGTTCATTGTTAATGCAGCAGCATCCCCATGTATTGCAAGGTTTTTGAGTCGCCGACTAATCGCCAAGTCGTTGGAGCAAGGTTTGCTTGCGCAGGCGACTTGGCTAGAGGAGTGAGTCGCACGGCTGGAAGGCTAGTCGACGATTAGTCGACGACTAGTCGGGCGACTAGGACCTCAAAGCAGGGCGGCTTGCTTCAGCAAGGCCAAGGGAGGGAACACTAGCGGAGCTTAGTGCAAGCAAAACTGGGCTGTGGCCCGCCCAGTTTTGCTGCAAACCAATGGGCCTTTAGGCAGAAATGGGCCATGCAGGTAAAAAAACGTTGGGCTTTCTTCAAGCTGGCCCGCCCAGTCATTTTGATGTAGCTCCGCTACTGGGAGGGAAGACTGGGAAGGTGAGGAGGCCTGAGTCCAAGGCGGGGGAGGAGGAGGCGAAGCTGGAGAGTGCGCCGCCTGTACGAGGAGAAGCACGGAAGAGGCGAAGGAGAAAGGCACATGGGAGAGCAGATGCACGGTCCAGATTAGAGCATATGGACGGTTTGGATTTTATTTGGAAGCTAGGTGTACATAATGGGCCTATTGGGCCAGCTCTCTAGCACGAAACAGAGGAGGAGCAAGACGCGTGCTCCCATCCCACATCAGAATCGCCGCCTCCATCGCTCCTACGAGCTGCTGCTGCCTTCTCCGAGCTGAAGTATCCTCCAAGCAGCTGCCTTCCCCCTCCTCCGCCTGCAACAGCACCTCTTCCCCTCCTCCTCCTCCTCCTCTTCCCCCTCCTCCTCCTCCTCTTAACACCTGGGGCGACTTGGGGCGATTAATCACGACGAGTCGCAAACTAATCGCAGCGAGCCACTACTCGGAGGCATGGCGACTCGACTTGGCTAGGCGACTCAAAAACCTTGATGTATTGTTTGTGAAAACATTATTTTTACAAAGACTTCTATCTAAACTAGCATCGCCGACCCATCTGGGCCACGTACAGCCACCGCATGCATGTCCTTTTCCTCTGCTCTGGGCGGTCAAAGCAAGTGGGACAAGAGAAGCACAGGGAAGGGGGATGATACAGTGGGAGAGGGTGCAATGAGAACACAAAGCAAGCAGACAAGTGGGCCAGAAAGTTAAGTCAGGCAAGCGATCTTATTCACCTGGAGTTATGTCAAGGGTTTTCACCGCCACGCTAAGCTGCCAATAACCAAGGGACAGGGAAGAGGCTGTGACAAAGGAGAGCAGAGGTGAAAGGCAGGTTCGCCTTGCCCTCCACTGCAAGAAGAGCTCTAGCGTCATGCAGGCGGCGAGTCACGGATGCTAGGGCAGTACAGTCACACCAGGAACCAAGAGTAGATACATGAAACTCCACTAATGCCTTCAAGAATATGACCAAATCACAAGACCACGGTTCTCTCCTCCAATCCATCCAACTCCCTAGCAGTAGGCAGACAAATGCTGGCTGCAGACGGACTCATACAACACCGGCCATACGAGTGAGCCAGACAGGGAAGACTGTGTGGTAAAAAGAAAGGCCACAGAGCTCCAGCAACCAACGAAAATGAACGGCCAAGATGGAGGGACGAATCTGACGGACAAAAATCTCAGAGCTCTAAGGAGCATCTATTTCCAGTACCGATTTAGTTAGGTAAGACTTGATTGAGCCTGATCTCACAAGACACGTTTGTGAGAACAAATGTACTCCCTCTGTAACTTAACGTAAGACGTTTTTGCAGTTTAATTTAAACTGCAAAAACATCTTACATCAAGTTACAGAAGTTGTATATTTGAATAGAACACTTTCAGTATCACATGATGGTAGTTATCAGTTATGCTTATTCATTGCATTTATGTACCCTAAACCACACACTTTTTTATTAGCACAAGTAACAAATTATCTTGTGAAGAGGTTAGGATGGAAGAAATTGAAAGCAGACTATATTCAGAAAGTTAACTCACAAAGAACATATGTGGAATTAGTTGCACAAAAGCATTCTAGATGAAAACAGGAATGGTTCAAGGGAATACCTGCCGCGATGCCACCGATATAGTCATGAAATTGTAACCATTCATATCTTCTGGACTCAGCAAAAGGAAGGCAGAAGGAGGCGGTTGCTCAGTTTGGCTCCCGGGTTCTACCTGCTCGACAAGCAATAATGATGACAACGTGAATAAGGGAACAAATGGTATGTTACTTGCAATAGATAAAGGCAAATGAGCACAAGAAATAGAATTGGTCCATAGTACAATGTGTACTGTACAAAAGCAACATTCAGAAAGAAAAGAAAAAAAAATACCCTCAAAAACAATGATTTTCACTGCACCAAGCATAATAAAAAAAACAAAAGGGAAGGAGGAGCTGCACAATGTAGACAGCACAGTAAAAAAATACTTAAATCAATAGAAGTAACTTGATAGAACTGAAAATGTGAGGGTTAGCTTGTTAGGTAGTAGCCTAACATAATATAAGAAAATAAGATTCAGATGCTGCAGTTGATAGTATAAAGACAAAGCAACATTGGGAACAGAAAAGTCATTGAGACCATTTGTATTGTAATTGTAAACAGTACAAACAAGAAACCTGCATACATGAACCAGAAACATGGAGAATGCCAGGATGTAGGAACATGAAAGGTGAACAGTTAAAGATATTACCTGTTTTGGTGCAGGTCCTGCTGGGATTTGGACCATCTTTGAGGTAACTTCAACTATCCTTTTGCTAGCAGGTACTTCATTTTCGATGGACGAACGATGCTTTTCTGGCCACAAGTGAATCCTGACTCCAGAACATGGAGCAAGATTTGTGACAAAAACAAAGTGTCCTCTTCCATTTGAACCCTTCAACAAGAGAACAGTTAAGCGGACAAAGTTTATTCAATTAGACGCCTGCTAAATTTGTAATATGGTGTCCAAACAGTACGCAGAACTTTGAAGAAGCTACACTGATCAAACACTAGTAAGACAATTTCACCTACCAGCTTTTTAATATCTAACCATCTTCTCCTGCCATCCATCGCTAAAACAGTAACCAAATTTGACTGGATATGCAGGTCCTTTTCAAGGCCATCACTTGTCCATAGAACAGATGGTGGGCAAAAAAGTGTATCATTTCGCTGCAATTCTATAGAAAATATATTGTTATGTAAAGACGACAAGAATTGCATGAGATTTTGACAGCACTTCTCTTTTATAAAGCTTTATTTATGGCTGATGCCACATTTGTATTACAGTATTTAGAGATGTATTTATAGATACGATATGTCAACTGAAGCAGTAAAACGAGGTAGAAATTATTACTGACAAACTCACTACAAAAACTGAACCACGTCTATTTGTGATGTAAAACAACCGTGTAATACCAAATTAGCAATTTTCCATACCCTATAAAACTTCATAAACTAGAACTGCCGTGAGTGTAATATTATAGCAGTAAAGTTAGTTAGCCTAAACAACATCTTAAATAGATTAGTGTTAGTACTGAATTGGACACATGATGAAAGAAACAATCATGACACATAATAGTATACATCAAAGTTGTTTTGAAAGAGGTGAACTAGAGCTAATTCCACAAACCGCTTCAGAACTTCCACAAGCACCAAAAATATTTTTATTTGTAAAATGCAAAATGCACTCTAATATTTCACATTCAGAAAATGGCAAAGGCTATTTTAAAACATTAGGATGCCATATGGAAATGAATGGTCACTTTTGACCTAGATTCAGATCCCCGGCCAAGCTTTATGTGCTCATAAATAAGGGTACACATCCCACATCTTTTAGGCATTAATAGTCAATTATGAAAAGGATGCAACAAGGAAAAGAATGAAATCGTACCACCGGCTTCCTTGGTATCACTCGCAAGAAAATTTGAAGATTGAGAACCTGAAACATGATTCATCCAACTCAAAGACTGGGGAACTACACTCTGGAGCATTTTCGCAAACACAAAGACTCTTTTTTGTGAACTCAAAAATGGCTGCCGATCCACAGGATCTATCATGCTAAGAAGAGTGTGCGCGACCTGGATAAGGTTAAAATCCCCATAAGTACAGTACATTTCACTGTAGAGCACTTAATGCATTTGAGATGAGTAAATGGTTTCAACCTGTACAGCTAATTGATTGCACCAGAGGATGGATTGATGTTCCATGGATAGCCAAACATTCTTCACACTGGAGCTCCCTACCATAAACCCATGAGTAGAAGGTACAATGCCATCCAATGCGGCCAACCTTGACCTAATCTGAACCAAAATAAATGGGAACTCAACATTTGATTGGTATCTACTTTAGAAAGACACAATTAATGTCACAGAGTGATCAATTAATGCTACACCATAACAAACTAATCATGCATACATGTAGCATATAATCTATCTGAAATTCTATGAAATTTCAGATTAGTCTTACAAGCAGCTTCTAAAATTGAATGTAATGAAATTACCAGTATAAGCAAAATCACGTTTTAAATGTGTAAATTATGATTTAGTACAAGAAAAAACTAACTTTATTTTATATTTTGTGAACAGATAATTATACTGAGTGTCAGCAAAGAAAACATTACAACTTTACGAGTCATGCCCTGATACTGAGTTACTGACACATGTTCCTTAGTGCCACTGTATATACAACAGAAATTACTAATCATGGGAAAAATTAGCACAGATTTCATAATCTCAACCCAGTCTATTATAGAAATGGTCTTCTAAAACTGTGAGAAGTTTGCAGTATCCAAGTGAATCACATACAGCAAATAAGCAGTCATAGATCTTAGATACTTACAAACAAGGAAATATTGTTATCAAAGAAAATAACATAGACATAATCAAATGTGCATAGGATTAAGTGATTAACTATAATATACCAGCAGCAAAAATAATACCTGATAATCATGGATGCCGCCTGATATAGAGACAACTACTACATTTGAGAGTTTTGGACTGCTTGTATGTGATACTCCTTTCTTGTATCCGTTTCTCCATTCTTCATTGACATGGGAGAAAAAATGACCCAAGGACGGCTGCAGAGCAACAGGAGGATACCTGGATGAGAAATCATTTTATGTCATGAGTAACACTTCACTTGCCCACCGAGTCAGAAGCAAAACAAGACACAGAAAAATTCCACAAAGAGGGAGAGAGAGTACTGGTGTGGGCTGGAGAGCGTCAGTATAGTTTCAACAGCTGATTTCCTTAAGCCCGGGTGGACAAGAGCTGCTCGAGCCACAAAACCACCCATTGAATGTCCAACTAGCATAACACTAGATGGCAAGTTACCAGTAGAACGAACATCATCCTTCGATCGTGCTAAATGAGATTCTTTGTATTGATCAAGGATCTACAAAGCACAGAACAAATATGCTATGAGCATTTTCAATGAAACATATCAGAGAATAATAACAACTAGTGTGTTCTACTTCACAGGAACAAAATGTGGAAATAGGAAACTGTGTGGATTTGTTTACAAGAGCATAATCATATCAGACATGCTAAAATTCAATGCAGTGAAATTCTCCTGATGATAGAAGTTCTACATTTTGCAGTTACTCGTTTCATTTTCCAGGGTGTATTTTGATTGGTTAAGACAAGGTTTTGACCAGCAATTACTTTCACAAAATGTTGTTTATGTGATAAAAATCACATTCATAAGTACTTTTAAATATAAATCAAATGACATTGATCTTATGTTATATAAATTGCACACAAATGGAGTAACTGTTGGTCAAAGAGTTGTCTTAACCAATCAAAATACACTACATTGTGCAACACAGGGAGAATAACTTATGACTGAAGGGCCCATTGCACTCTATGCTAAGAGCCTAAGATCATATCTTACGAGTTAGAGTTGGTTACCCTATGGATGGCATAGACAACATATTCAGTATGCTCCTCAAGTATGCGACCATCCATTGCAGAGTGTTCTCCTTCAAGATCAATAGTAAACCAATCCAGAATACGGCCATATTGTGATGGAAGGGAAGAATCTTCCAGTTCAAATGCACTAGATGGTTCCCGATAAAAGGAGGGCTCAAGTGGACCGTTTTGATATGCTCGAGAAGATTCTGCAGCAAATGAGCGAACCTGGATGTATAGCATGATAACAAAAGAAAGAATTCAGTAACAGCAATACAGCGACGACAAAATAAGCAAAATTGGACTATCTTTCCAGAATGGCATTGTGGGCGAATATGAACTTTAGCGGCCAATCCATGTTCTTCTCCACTGAAATGCAGGCCACGTAGGCTACGAATAAATAAATGATCGCAAGGTGCAAAACAGTGAAGAATATGTAATCCTATTCCATTTCCAATCTATCGGTGCCATATGTGGCTTTTTTATTCCAGTACACGTTTAGTCTTAGCTCTTTACGACTACTAACAAGTAGCAGTGATTGGACTAACAAGTACTAGCAGTGCTTGATTTACATGGCCATATTATAAAACAAACGTGAAAGCGGGCCTTCACCTGCTTGTAGCTCCCGCCGTTGCCGGGGATGAAAAGCACGGGCACGCCGTCGAGCTTGCGGACGCGCTCGGCGAAGTCGATCTCCTTCCACCCCTCGTGGTACAGGAACAGGCCGTACCTGTCGGAGGAGACGTTGTTGGGGGCGTGGATGGGGATGTAGGTCGGGTACATGTAGGTCATCTGGCACCCGTTGGGCGCCGGGCGCACCAGCCTGTTGAGGGCCGCGAGCGTGATCCAGGCGGAGAAGAAGAGCACGGCCCCCAGCCTGCAGTTGGCGCCGAATCCAGCCATGCCGTGCGTGGATCGATCAAATCCGAGGCCGCTGGTCCCGCTCACGAGCTTGGCATGGAGCCGCGGAGGAGGGCGAGATTCGAGCGGAGACGGGGACGAAGGAGGGGCGGTTCTGGATCGGAAGAGGGGATCTCGGGCTCGGGATCCGGTGGAGGCCTGCGGAGGCCGGTGGTTCGCCCGCCAAATGTTACGACGCGCGGCTCGTTCTGCTCCGCGGTCGGGTCTCCGGTCGGCGCGAGGGGTCTCCGGGGGGGAGGAGGAGGAGGCGGGATCAGGGGGAGGTGGTGGGAGAGTGGCGGGCGGAGATTTGGAGGAGATGAGGCGGCGATGGGCAATTTGGGGGGAAACGATGGGAGGTGCGGCCGCTTTGGTTGAATGGAGTTGGAACCTACTGTAGGGCCTATCGGCAGTGGCTTGTCGGATCTGGAGCCACTTTCTGTT